AAAATCTTGACGAATAAACTAAACATTGAGAAATTAACGTGCCTCAGCGTCGCCTGTATTTCACGAACAAACGTAAAGTCGGCCGAGCGATGACATAAACTGCCACTAATTTGATATGTAGTACACATTGAAATTTTGTTAGCGGAGCATGGTTGAGTTGTGCGGCCAGTCGAGATAGGGAACGGTCGTAAACCAAACGGACGCGCAATGATTTCTACTTCGACGCTATCCACGCCGGGCTTCGCAGAGGTACCGCGGTGAAGATACAAAACCAACGATCGTCCCCTACATTATAATGATCGCAACGGTGTTTAGACGGCGTCCCGTCTCGGGCTAACGAGCAACGATAACAGAGCGACGCTTCGTAGCGTGACACACTACGAAGGAGTCGAGAGAGAAAATCGCCTGGCAGAATTTCCTTGCACTTTCGGAAAGTGTGCGCCGGAGACCGGCGATGCATTTCTAATTTTCGCGCGGAGGGATCGCTCGATTTCGCCCGAATTTCATTCGATCGGAGGAGAAGCGATGCTAATGACACCCTATGGTGTCCATGACGCGACGAGAAATCGAGGATAATGGTAATCCTGGCAGAACGAATGCGGGTCGCGCGAGACCCAAATTTTTACGCCGGCAACAATTTTTATTCACGCGAGATTTTGTCGTGGGTCAGAGATAACCCAGCTACGGCCTCCGTGAGCACCACTCTCCGAGAGTCAATTCTTCCAAAAAAGCGCGTACTCGCTCGTGAAAAACATTATCAGCGCGTTACTGCGTTTCCCGCCCTTTCGGCGCCGTAAGGGCGGGAAAGCGAGCGCGGAAATAGTCGCAAGATGGCCGCCGGTAGGGGTGCGCACCACGTGACGGAACATCCGGGAAGCTTGCGCGCGGCAAAAACGTTCCGAATGCCCCAGGCCTACGTCGAAACTAAACGTCGCCGTTGTCTCCGACGCGACGTCGAATATAACTTAAACAACGCGCGTCGGCCAGCAGGGAATTACGGTAACGCGGCATGCGAAACGTAAACAGAAATCGGCGTCTACGGGGCACGCGGCTACTTACCAATTTTGAAATCCGGTGACACAACCGGGCCGTTGCGCGAGGTGGAGGGCTTGCGAAATAGGTCTTCGCGCGGTCAAACACTGCGGTCGCGTGAACCAGTCTGCGGCGTGCACATAATTCCACGGCCGAATTGATTCCGTGTGTATTTCGGAGGACGTTCACCGGACGTTCAATTTCTAGAGCACTGACAGCCACACTAACACGTGTCCGCGCGCGGCACACTGTCCGACGATGCCCGACCGAAAGCCGACCTCTTCCGTCTTCCTGAAACGACTCCTCTGGTTTCGCACGCGCAGACACGCAGACCGCGTTCTTCCATCCGAGTGTCCGACCGTGGCGACGACTCGGCGTGCGTGCACCGTGGCAACCAGTTCTGGCGACTGACAGCGACCGGGGCTCGCGAACCGCGCGCCGCCGCGGTTTCCGGCAGCGCTACCCCCACCCGCCGCCCGTTACCCCCACCGCTCCCGAACTGGAGCAGCGCGTGTTTGAATTCGAACGTCGAAACGCGCCGCGCCGCGCGGCGGCGAGAATTTGTCCTGCTTTGACTATAGAAGCTATGAGAGCGATCTTTCGTAGAGCCGTTCTATAGGTTCTGCGAACGGTGGCTGAAACAATGATAGTATCTGTCAGTTTCTTTCACGGAAATCGATTCTTTTTGTTGAAAATTCGAAAGTGCAGGTTATTTGAGATCGTGAGACCGAAGATCAAGTTTCCATCGTAATTAATCAATTTCTTAGTCGCGTTCGCGATCATTTTTCGAAATACGATGGATTCCAAATGTCGACGGAGCCTGTAATTTATTTCAAAAAGAGACAAAGAGAATTTTCAGATCTTCTGATATCGATGTAATAACGATATCGATACAAATTCAGGTTTGGACGCGTTCGAATGGCGTCCAGAGGGAGCGAGGTATAATCTTGTTGGACATTTAGCAATTTATTTTGAAAATTAGCAGTCTAAGACGTGTGATCTAATTACAGTGAACCGATTAAGTGGATCTTTCTCTATTCCCTAGCGCGATCACCAGACCTTCGGACCTTTATGCGAAATAAAAATGTTCTCTGTCTAGTGCGAAGCAATATTTCTCGTAATTTCGACGCGCTTGTATCCTTTCGATGTATCTCTAGTATTTTTGAAACTTAAACTATCCAATGTTGTCATAAATTCCGCCAGTCTAGTAATCACCGGCGCATGCACCTACTGTCAAAACAAAATGAACGATCGTCGGTGCATTTACAGGAAGTTCTGGAGCCAGCAATTTTAAATGTAATTTTTATTTAGGCTATGTACAACACATACGTACAATACGTGACCCTTGCTTAAAACTATGTTACGCTCGCCCCGGTATGCGCTTTTTTTTATTTTCCACTTAATCTTTAACGTCACCTAATCATTTTTTTATACTTCATTTTTCTCTCTTTCTTTCTCTCTCTCTCGTTCTCTCTTGCTCTCGTTCGCTCTCTCTCTCGCTCGCTCTCTCTCGCTCTCGTTCTCTCGTTTTCAACATACGCGGTGCATGTGATAGGTGTAATTACGTCGCATGCATTGTTTATGCTTCCCCCTGTAACGTAACACACATACACGTGTACGTAATAAGTGCGTGTGTCCATTATCTTTTTTTTTTGCCTCCGCTTCCCTCGTATATTTTCTCGTGTGATATGTTACAAATTTTTAGGAACATTTCGCGTCGAACGCCGCGAGTGATATCTTTTTTTTCTTTTTGTTATTTTCTTTTAATAATAAGATTCGCAGTTAAAACTACATGAAAACAATGCAGTTTCGTAACACCTGCAGCTTTTCATACCTCGCTCAATATATGCATTAGACACTTATCGAAAAATGACACCAATATAGAGGATTGTTGATTGGACAGACTCCAAATATCACCGCTGAGGGGCGCCAGGGCCAGCGTCCACCCTATTCGCTAGACTACCCTTAATCAATTAACACGCGGTTAACTAGAAAAATGAACAGACATATGGAAATTATAACAGAGCAATTCTCGAACCGAGTAATTAAAAGCCGGAGATTTAAAATCATTCTGCTGCATTTAAAAATTTTGTAATGTAATCTCAGATGTTATCAATACTCTCCATCGTACACTCAGCATTTTTCTCCAGATTTTTCAACAACTATCTTTCTCGAGAACAACGCATCTCGTTCGAACATAGACATCAATTAATTACACGAATCAATAATTTGTACAGTGGGTGTAAACTACCCCCAAACTGCCGCATCGATCGACAGAAAAAAATTGGTAAAAATTGAACGATAACTTCTAAAAAATCGTCGAATACAAAACGTGTGGTTCAACGTAAAAGCTAATTTGACTTTCTTTCGAGAATTTGTGGCCCGGCGCCCCTCAAATTTCGAACGCAAGGATCGTCAGTTACCCTCAGCTACCCCCTCCACTCCGATTATTGAAAACTCTGGCCAACATAAGCACACAAATCAATGCCTAAATTGTTCTCCACTAAGGATAGGTATGCTTACATTTTTAAAAGGACATTGAAAAATCGCATATGCTAGAGTACCTGTTGATTACACTGTATATGTACCTCTCTCTCTCTCTTTCTCTCTTTCTCTCTCTCTCTCTCTCTCTCTCGTTCTCTCTCTCTCTCTCGCTCGCTCTCGTTCTCGCTATCTTTCTCTCCCTTATTTACAGTTACCTCCGTTAACAAAACCGTTAGTTCTCGATCGTTGTTAAGAAACTAATCAAGGATCCCACGGGTGGGACAATGTTCTCACGCCCACGCATGTCGCGTTTTTGTGCTTGTCGATTCTCGGTAGAAAATTTCTCAAACAATAAACATCGTCGTCACGCTTTCGTCTCAGCGTTTACAGCAATACCATGCGCGAAAATCAAGTGGAAGTAAAAAAAGAAAACGAAAGACGTAACACTTAAATAATATACTTAAAATTACAATTGTCATCGACGTCGGTGCAATACGTGTATACATGGTACGTACGTGTATAAATAAATCATAATTACATGCGTCGAAATTAAATATACAATTACGTTATAATTGAACCGTAATTACATTCGTATTCTATGTAATTTCATTGTAAGTCTATGTATATAATTATAATTTATTTATTCGGTTTCGCACGAAATCGATCGGCGCCGACGTAACAAATTAATTGTATTAATGGCAACATAATGAATACTGCTCGGGTTTGTCGATTGGAAAATTAATTGGTACCGTTGCGCCTTCTGCAGGATGCAAGAAATGTTTCACCGCGAACTATTTCACCGCGTTCAGCGAACGAACGAACCGAATTGTTTCGTGCTACATATTTATGCACACTTGCCGTTCGAATGATAATTAATAATAATTGTTTCATTGATAACAACAATCAGCGGTTTCGTGCGGTGATAATGATCGGTGAATTTAACGTGCACGTTCACGAAGTACCGAAATTGTTCGCGAAAATGATTAAACGTTCAATGTTCCGTGAAATAACTCTGTGCTAATATTATTTAAACAATATAACAATTCGTGTCGCTCGCAGCCCGCACGGAAAGCCCTCGACGCACTAATCAACGGAGGATGCTTTTAATTACGTGTATGTATCTACCGGGTGAGAATTAATTAACAAACTAGCGTACCAAAATATTATTAACAATACGACTGAATCTCCTGTTCGAATGACCACGTTTACGAGTTACCGATCGGAATCGATTTCCTCTAGCATAATGAACAAATTATTTAGACCAGATTTGAAATGATTGGCGCGCCCGTTTGGAACGTTCGCGGCGCCAAATTCAAAATTTCGCTTCTCTCTTTCTTTCTTTCTCTTTTTCTCTTTCTCTCTCTCTCTCTCTCTCTCTCATTCTCTCTCTCGTTTCGCGAGAAGCCTCGAAGTTTCCTCTTTGGTGGTACTTAGAAATACGGTATTCTCTGTGTGTCTCGTCTTTGGTTTTAATGGCGGTTTCTCTCTCCTGTTCTTTGGCAATGCGATTTAGCGACGTTGCATCGTGCTCGAATAGCTTCGGAATTTCTCGTATAGCTTGCGTGCATGCGTTTACAATTATGTTTGGTACTGTAGCATCGGAGCAGCGAGATTCGGATGATGAGCGGTATTCATTCTTAGAGCCGAGATACTTTTGTTGTACCACTCGTCCTCCGCTGACATACCTGCAATTAGATCAATTCGTTTTATTCGGGTCGAATACGGAGAATTCGGTGAATCTTAGATGAAAGATTGGTCGGTTTCAAGTGTTCGTAATTTCTACGGAAAATATCGTACGGCAGTCTAACTAAGCGCATTTCAAAGGGCGAAGATTATACTTTCGACATCGCTAAGGGCTCTTTTATTGAAAATTGCACTGGATTTGTATCGATGCATTTTTGTCGACCATCAACATTGGATAATTAAATCTCAGGTCAAAAATTGGTCGGTTTCAAGCGTTCGTAATTTCTACGGAAAAAATCGTACGGCAATCTAACTAAGCGCATTTTAAAGAGCGAAGATTATACTTTCGATATCCCTAAGTTCTTCTTCGTTGAAAATTTCACTTGGAATCGAACCGACGCATCTTCGTCGACGATCAAAATTCGATGATAATTAAATGTTGGACGGAAACATGAAAAATTTCAAACTATCTTAATTAAGTGAAGCTGATTAATTTAGCGGAGGCGAAAGTAGAATTTTCAAGCATTAAAATGAGCTAAGTTACATGGTCGGGCGATTTTGTTGCAGAAAGTTGTAGCAGTTTGAAAATGACCCACTTTTTCAGCAAACGTTTCGAGGTTCTCCGACCGCTAGAGTACAATATTCAATTATTTTTATAAAGAATGATCATAGCGGGAGAAAATGATTTAGCAGAGATGAAAGTAGAAGATTCACGCTTTAAAATGAGTTAGATCACATCATTCTACGATATTTTTTCTCGGTGTTACGACAGCTTGAAGGTGACGTTTCGGACACCATTTATTATTTCATTATTTTTACGATATTATTTCAACAATATATAATTAATGAATAATTACATCCAGCCGCGCGTAACTCGCGCAAGTCACTGTCCGAAACGAAGCGAAGCAGTCAAGGTTACCATGTAATTAGTAACAGCTAAAGAGATCGAAATAACATTTGCCGGAACTCTCGACTAAAATTCATCTGACCTTTTCAACTTCCACGAGTTCGAAAATACGATTACACAATTTTAAACCCATTATCTGTGCGTGGTCCTCAGAAACTCGTTATTTATCGACCGAAGTGTGGTCCGTTGCACCGGGCAAAACGCAATGTAATGCGCTTTCGTCTACCCGAAACAAAATCCATTAATGTTTAATTCGCCGAATAAATTTAAATAAACATTAAACAATTCGATTAACCACGAACAACAACGTCTTTATTCGAAAACAAATAAATAAAAAAAAAACGATACAAAACAATTCCACCGTTACTCGAATCACGAAAAGCAATCATATAAATTAAACAAACTCGATTATTAACGCAATAATCCGTTTAAACACATTTCGCATCGTTGTCTGAACTTTTAATCGCAATGAAATAAATAGAACAACGAGAAATCGACTAGATTGTTTTAATAAATTCGCGTCTCCGGATTCCAAGCGTCGGCGACGCCATTTAAGGATCCCCCAAGCGGCGGGAAAGCATTTTTTAATTCGAATAACTGTAGAATAATTTCGCCAACAGTTCATCCAATTAATTTTATGCGCTTGATAAAATCGTTCGAGCCATCAAGACTTAATCGGACTTAAATTACGAAGATTTGCGAATCGCTTTCGGGTTAATATTTGTCGGAATTCGAACCGGAAACGGCCGTTTATTCCGCGGATCAACGGCGACGGTGGACGAAGGAAACGAAATTTCTTTTTAGAAAGCGATCGGTCGATTCGATTCGCGGATGCTCTCCCGTTCGCCGATCGCGGATCGTAATCGATCGATTTGCTATCGCATTAAGACGTTAAATCGTTAGGAGCAGCCGCCATGTTGGCGGCAGTGCTGCAGCGAGAGCCAATTCGCGAATAGTCTTGATTCGATTTAAAAGCGATATTCCATCTCGCGCCGGAAATGATGTAAGACGGCGCGAATCCGGAAATGGAGAGAGGACGTCTTGGACGTACGTTTTGCTCGGGTATCCGATTCGCGTCATTTCCGGCACGGCTTTTTACGCAATCAATCAATAACTAGGAGTCGACACTCGGCGAAATGGGAAGCCCGGCCGAAAAATCGATTCCAGTTTATTTACGATGGATGCGAATCTGTTGAGGCTGGACTGACACTTTATAGAAAAGCTTCGCGTTCTGATCAATCATTTTATAACGTTTTCTCGGGGTTCCGATCGCGTTTTATCGGGGTGTGGGAACGAGAAGCCGGCCATCGGATGGATAGCAGGGACGATTAATCTCTGATAAATTACTGAGAGCTTGGAAATTTATTTCTGCGATTGAAACTGCTATGTCGATCAAGAATGAATCTTTCTCTTCGAAATTAAACCTCAAAATTTGAAGCATGATTTTTTCTGCGCGTTTTATTGCACTATGAATGAAAGTATGTTGCTAGCCAGCTGGCAAAGGTAGTCGACTTTTTGAACAACTTCGAAAGACTACACTGATCTTGAAAAATTTTTCTTAGGATTGAAATTAACGCGATTTTGAAGATTGAAGTCTCTTCTTTACAACGAGATTTTTAAATTTGAAGCACGATTTTTTTCGCTTGTTTTATTGCACTGTGGATGAAAGCATGTTGTTAGCCAGTTGGCGAAGGTAATCTACTCTTTGGACAACTTTGAAAGGCTACACTGATCTTGAAAAATTTTTCTTGGGATTAAAATTAACGCGATCTTGAAGATTAAAGTCCCTTCTTTACAACGAGGTTATAAAATTTGAAGCGCGATTTTTTCTACGCGTTTTATTGCACTGTTGATGAAAGCATGTTGTTAGCCAGCTGGCGAAGGTAGTCGACTCTTTGGACAACTTTGAAAGGCTACACTGATCTTGAAAAATTTTTCTTGGAACTGAAATTAACGCGATCTTGAAGATCGAAGTCTCTTCTTTACAACGAGGTCATAAAATTTGAAGCACAATTTTTTTCGCGAGCTTCATCGCACTATGAATGAAAGTATGTCACCAGCTGATGACCAGACCAGATGACCGACTTTTTAGACAATTTTGCACGTCGGTACGGAGTTTACAAAATTTTCTTAGCTACTCAAACATCATTTAGCCCCGAGATCGAAGCATTCTCTTTCAAACGAGACCTCAAAATCCGACGCACGATTTCTCGTTCCCGTTTTGTAGCAGTTTGAACGGACAACGTGCCCACGCCCGGCGGAGATGATTATTTAGCAACTTCGTACATTTCCGCGGAGCTCGAGCAATTTTCTCGTCCATTCGCCCTGCAATGCGCCTCGAGATTGAAGTCTGCTGTACGCGAGGAGCGCCTAAAATTCGCAGCACGATTTTCTGTTCACGTCTCGCGACCGGCCGAATAATAAAACGTCACGAGAGAACACTCACCCATTGCGTCTTGTCTCATACCAGTGACCGCCGACATGTTCGATGCGGAATGCGACATGGAGAACGGTTGTGTCATACTCGGATAAGACGTTGTGCCCATCTGCAAGAACCACGTTCCACCATTAATTCCATTCGAGCCGACGCGGCATTGCAAAATACATGAAACGAAATCACGGCGAGCGAGGCGAGGGAGGGGGGACGCGTGAAACCAGCAAAACCATTGGGCTAATCGGCGACAACAAATAGATACGCCGTCGAAATTTCTCGCGGCCGCAGTTATGTAACAGATACACAGAACGGTAATTGATCTGATGAATCGCGCGAGCCGAAATCGCATTTGCAAAACAAATTCGGAATTAGCCAATTAGCGGGCATCGATCGGGGTAATCGGGGCCGCTTTGAGGAATCCGACGGGGCCGAGGGCGGCCGGTTAGGCCGTCCGGGAAGTTTTTCCCGGCGAGAAACCGACGTAGCCGAAGAATTACCGACTCAATTAAAACGGTAGGCATTCGGTAATCTGTCCGACCCAACTAATCAGTCGAAATGCAATTTAGGTACATCGACCGATAGCGATGCGCCGCCGGACGGTCAGCTGTGCACTTCAATTTAATACCTCGGTTAAAATCATTAACGAGAAACGCGTCGGACTCGTCCGCAGCCGCCCGATACTTCTCGAAGCGATACACACACACACACAACGATTGTTCCGTAAACAATCTTTCGCCGGAAAGTCGTGGAAAAATCCGATTCGGCCACCTGCGGAATAAGAAAGAGTTCGAGGCGAAACGCGAACGAATTCGGAAACGTCGCATTATTAACGTCGTTCAATCTGGAGACTGGAAACTACGTACATATATTATAATTTATAATTCGAACTGTAGCATGACTCGCAATTTGTACTGCGAATACGTTCAATTCTAGCTATAGACGCCATACTCGCGATTTAAACTGAACGTGTCACTCGCGATTTAAGCTAAACATATCACCGCCATTGGCAATTTAGGCTAAACACATCACTCGCGATCCAAACTATTTTATGCGCAGAATTTATCTATTCGGTTAAAATTACTAATTAGAATTCGATAGTATGACTTGCGAATTTAAACTACGCGCGCGTACTACGATCGGCGATTTTAGCTATGCACGCTATGACTTGCGATTTAATTTAATTATTACCTGCGTGTATAATCGACGTGTGGTCGATGGTACTAATTAAAACTCGAAACTCTGAATTTCTAATTTAGAAACCAAGCTGCGCGACTATTATAATAGTTTAAGGTATTATAATTATTCTTCGACCATAACGTACACGTGTTAAGAATCGACGTCGCGTAAGTTGCATTAACGGTGCGCAAGGGAATTTCGTTAATTTTAATTATAGTTATAACGAAGAGCAAGGTGCTGTTCCAATGAAAAGTAGCAACGAAATTTTCTTAAAATTACTCTTCGGTAAAATAAGCATCGTCGAATAAGCGACGAGTGAACTACATGTGTTTGTGTAATTAATAAAATATAGTGTAATAAATAAAAATTGTCCTGATCAAAATAGCAACGAGCAGGAGTAAAATTTCAGCGAGTCGAAAATAATGCACGGTTAATGAAATTCTGTTAACGGTCTCATTGTTTCGCGTTTCAACTGTCCGCTTTTATAATAAATGCACAATATCTGGATGTTACGAATTATCGATGTTTCGTGGCCGATCGTTCGATCGACTGTGCATTGTCAGGGACGACGGTATACGTACCTGTGGGTAGCGATTTATCCCGTTTATGCTATTATGAGGATGAGGATAGGGCTGATAGCCTCTGCTAGCGCCGGGGTAGATGTTTCTCATCATGGCGCCTTGGCAAGCGGGAATCGGAGTCAAGGCTTTCTGGAGCTGCTTCTCCTGCTTCCGGTATTTTGCTCTTCTGTTTTGAAACCAGACCTGTCGACAGTGATCATGGCATTCGCATAAAACCGACGGTATCAACGTCATGCAAGTTTTCTAATTCCGAGATTCCATGAATGACTCGTTTCTACTTTGTCCGATATTAATTGTCACGGCTTCCCACGTGCCGTGTCTACGAACAATTTTTTCGGCGAAAATGAATTATACAAGGAGAAAGTAGAGATTTCAGGCTTTAAAATGAGCTTAGTCTTGTTGTTCTACGATTTTTATTCACGAAATTACAGTATTTTGAATACCGTCGATGTTGTTTGGGGTTGAAAATTTCGCGTAATGTCTGGAACGAGGATTCTCATCCACCGTGTCGCGAATAAATTTTTTTAGAGAAATCGACGAACGGTTTCCGAAAGTAGACACTTCGGGCTTTAAAATGAGCCTAGTTCCATCGTAGTATGATTTTTTTGCACGAAATTACAGTGTTTTGAATATCGACGGTATTTCGGGGGTTGCAAATTTCGCGTAAAGTCTAGAACGAGAATTCCCATCCACCGTGTCGCGAATAAATTTTTTTAGAGAAATCGACGGACGGCGTTCGAAAGCAGACACTTCGAGCTTTAAACTGAGTTTAGTTTCGTTGTTCTATGATTTTTATTCGCGAAGTTACAGTATTTTGAATACCGTCGATGTTTCGGGGGTTGGAAATTTGAGCGTAAACTCTGGATCGAGGTTTTTCATCTATTGTGTCGCGAATAAATTTTTTTAAAGAAATCGACGGACAGCCTCCGAAAGTAGATACTTTGGGCTTTAAAATGAGCCGAGTTCCATCGTTGTATGATTTTTTTGCACAGAGTTGTAGCTGTTCGAATATCAACAATTTTTTCGAAAATTTGAAACGTCCGCGAAAGTGATGAACAGCTCGTTCTTATAATTACCGATTGTTTAACAACTATAAAAACGGGCCGCAAGACGTCTCGACAACGTCTAAAAATGTTCCCATCGAGATCCGGCACGATCCAAAGTCGCAGCACGGCGGAGGGACACGCGCCCCCATAACAAAAGCAGGCATTCTCCTTGACAGCAAGGATTCGCACGGGGCCCAAGGCGAGCGGAGCACGCATCGCCATTTTGCGCCGGAGAATTTCCATTGTTTCGCGGGAATTAGCGCGCCCATATTGGGATCGCCTCTCTCCAGGCCAGCTATAGTCCGCGTTGTCTACGTCGAATCCACCCCCACCGAACGCCGGGGGCTTCTTCCATTCGTTTCGCTCCTGTTTTTCTCGGTTCTTATCATTCCCTATCAACCGAGCCTCCCCCACGGGCCACGGGAAAAGGGCTGGCAACGTCACCGGCGCCTCTTGATTGGCCGATGCCACCGCCGTGACGTCACCCGCCGGCTCCCTCATTGGCCGACGCGTTTTATCGACATTTCTACTGTGCATCAGATCTCTCGGCACCCTCGCCACCCCCGTGCACGCACGCACGCGCGCACGCCATTGCGAGATAGAAAGGGCCGGGGTGTGGAGGGTGGTGGAGAGACACTTTTTCTACCATTTTTCTTCTTATGCACCTCTTACGGCCCTTTCCTTTTTCCTCTTTCTCTTTCTCTTTTTCAGACGAGATCGCTTTTGTTTTATTGGTTATCGGTTGTTGTTCGTTCCCCCGATTTTTATCGCTCCGGTGTTCGACGGTGTGTTCGCGACCGGACGAGGAAGGAGATTGTTTGGGAAAATTGGCCGAGTTGCTTCTGAATTGTTCCTAGGATTTCGTGTTTCGGTACTAATTGGACTGGGTGATTATCGTTGTCCGTGGCAATTAAGCGAAGGCTTCGGAAACAACTTATCGGACGCCTGCTGTTCCGGGGACACTTCGCGATTTTTTTGCGAGAAAAGTAAGTGGACGATTGTTACGGGGTTTTGATGATCGTTTTCAGTCGAGAATCGACCGTGTAGTTGAATTTTTTGGTGGCGTGAAAGTCGAATTCGAGCTTGCTGCAAGCGATTAGGTAAATCCTTGTAAAAGATCTTGTTACGTGACGTAACGTTCTAAGCTAACTTTGCGGTTTTTTTGCTCGGTAAAGTAAGCGTCCGATTGTTATGGGATTTCAGCGGACGTTTTCAGTCGAGAATCGGCTATGTGGACGAATTTTTTAATGGTATGAAAGTCAAATTCGAGTTTGCTGCAAGCATTTGGGTAAATCCCTGTAAAATACCTTGTTACGCGATCTAATATTTTAGACCCACTTTGCGACTTTTTTTATTATGCCGCTACAAAACCATTTGCTATCAAATTTCAGCGAATATTTTCATTCGCGTTTCCACTGTGTTCACAAATTTTTTGACACGGATAATATCAACGGCTTGCTGCAATTTATCGTAAACATTCTTGAGAAATATTTCGTCTCGTTTCAGCTACTGCTTGTATTTTGACCTTTGATATTTTTTAAGTGAAAAGAATTGTATTTGCAGCGGGCAGAGTATATGTTGGAAAAGCGAACCGATCCTTTTATTTGCAACCACTCCCTAGGAGCTTTTTGAGAACATATTTGCGCGCGGGCGCGTCCCTTAAGGCGCACACCCTGTAAGAACTGGAAAGCTAAGAGTTCGTAATTCAATCACCGTGCTCTCCAATCTCGTCTCTCTCTCTCTCTCTCTCTCTCTCACTCTCTCTGTCTCTCTCTCTTTGGCTCTCCCACGGAGAGGAAGATGGGATAGCGAAAGTGCGGCACCCTCTCTGGGGGAGAACAGCTCAAAATGTCTGCTACTTTGAGCACCGCGACCCAGAAAACTATGCTTCTCCACGCCTGAGAGAATACAGTTCCCCTAAACCGCCATTCTCGCAGAAAAATATATCTGCGACATCTTTCGTCATCGACAGATTCCACGATCTCTCGAGAATAATATACACGTAATTTCAACCTCGAAACATTTATTTAAACAATAGAAAACATCGGAAGAACGTAATAAATCGAAGGAAAAAGATACAAAACAAAGGGTCACATTTGAGAATTTTTTTCGGAAAAACTGGGGGAGCTTTTTGAAAAATACTTTCTGCGTTCGAAAGATCATACTTTGCTGTGGATCTCATAATTTTTTCACTGCGACATGTTCACAATCGTAGAAGATACAATCATTTTCGCTAGGGCATCTTTTTCAACCCTTCATAACAATGGATCGCGCGATTTGTGTTAATTAAAATAAATCAAGTACCGACAAAAATATTATCCATCGGCAGGATAGCAGTTTACAGTGCAGGAAATAAGCCTGTAAATTTGGAAGCCGATCGATGCTGCGGTTTTTAAGAAATATTCATTGCAAGCGTGTTTCGGAGCTGATCGACGATCGGAAATGTTTGTAATTTTTTGGGGAAAGAAAACGCGATCGCGTGGAAAATATTTTCCGTGGAGAAGATAGAAGACGTTCGACGGCCATATTTATTTGGTTCGCTCGTTTCCTGGCGGATAGGAAGTCGATTTTCTCGTAAAACGCCCAGTAGGTAGGCAGCCAGGCTTCGATCGGAAGTCGAATCGAAGTAAAAAGGTCGAATGAAAACTCAGCTAACTCAATATCGGGTCTCGGATTCACCTTTCTTTTTCTACGGCGTAATGGGATTTCTTGTGCGGTGATTCGAGAATTATTCTCTTACCACAGTGCTACCCTTTTTTATCATTATCATTAATAAGGACGTTATCGTCGCTTCTCGACGCGACTCGGTCGTCTCTCGAACTTAGTCCGCCTTACCAAACAATTATTTCAAACACGCGTCGATCAGGATCAACTTGCAGCGTCGTTTTATATTTTACCTCGACTTTGTGACCGTTTTTATGAAATTGTTGCAATTAGGAGAACCCGAAATCACGACTGCTGTGAGTTAAACAAAGAGCTTCGAAAAAGGAGCTGTTACAAAATTTATTGTCTCGGGGTAACTTTGCAATTTTTTTATCGCGAAACTGTGCCATCGTTTGTTATGGCACTTTAGCATACATTTGCGTCTATGTTTTCACTATGTATGCAAATTTTTCGAAGTGCCGAAAGTCGAGATTGCGATTGCTATAAACGATTAGGTACACGATTGGTGCATCGTTCCATTTGCAAGGCCTTCGTTTAACCCTTACTTCAATATCCAAAATCGTCGACGTTGTTCTATAACCAGGGCACCCCTATAATCAGCTCCTGTGTCACGTCACTCTCCATTTTTATTTATTTTATAATTTATTACCGCAATCAAATATTATTCTTAATAATTGTCCGAAGAATTGTCACGCCAACTCGCTACCCTCGACAAGGGTTGCTTTAAAGTGCTGTAACTTCGCGAAAAAAAATCGCAGCCGAGTTTCTTTTACCTCAAATTAAAGGGAAAGGTTCGAACTTCATTCGGCTGTAAACGACATCTCAGAAAAAAATTGCACAAAGTCCGCGCGTTTCGTCAAATGTCGACGATTTTTCGATACGACAAACACAGCAATTTTCAATGTGACAAACATGGCTTCGCATTTTGGCGAGGGTGCATCGAACTGAAAATCCAGGAACACTATCTTGAAGTAGAGATTTCGAGCTTTAATTTAAAGAAACTGTCATCATTCTACGATGATCTTTCGCGGAGTTATCGTCTATCGAAGATGGCCAAATTTTCGCCAAACTTTTTCTCCGCTGTCTGTTTTCGGTTGTTGGCCCAAGGGTTGAACAGTTTTATCACGAAACTTCTGATCAGCATAGTCGAAAAAAGGGACGAGGACGGTAGCAAAGATAAGAAAAAGATAATAACGTAACCGGAAAGGGGTCCGATACCCCCATACCGTCCCCACGCCGTCTCCCATCCAGCATCTTCTTAGCTGTTCGTTCGTCTCCTAGGGAAGGAAGAACCTCGGCAAGGCCGAGACGTTTCAGATCTATCTAGGGTGGAGAGAAAATTCAATTTAAAATGGCGGCTCAGATATAATGGCAGCCTCCGGTACGGCACCACCCTCCCACGCTCCCCCTACAACTCATCTCAACTTTGCCACCGCTGTTCCCTACCTATTTCTCTTTCATCCGAAAGCACCCTGCCGTGCCGGGGCTGCGCGAGCTCTGCTCGTTCGCTCGCGTGTCGCCATCTTACACGGCGCGAGATGCCGTAACCGGCGATAGGGGCTCTTAAAGAATTCCTACGGACGCGTTATGCCTCTCGGAATAATCCCTGACACGGTTACACCCGGCAACACGGTTGCGCCCCTCGATAAATTATAGTGAACGCCGGGACCTTAAAATGAGAGGCAATTAATAGAATCGAAACCAAGCCGGCGAAAATTAAGCGAAAATTAAAACGAAATTAAAGCACCAAGAAACGAAATTCGAACGAATGAAATTTGAGGGAATGATATTCGAAGAAATGAAATTTGAAGAGATGAAATTTCAGGGAGAGCTTTTCTCAATTTTATCTTGTTTTTGCAGCTGCGGGCTTCGATATATTTTTTTTTTGCGAATATATGATACTCTTTGTAGTATAATTTTTAATGATATTGTATGCTTTTTTGCAGATAATACAATTTATAATACAGATGTATTTTATACGATATAACATAATCTTTTTATATAATATAATGTAACCCTTTTGTTTAATATAATTTTTTTTGTGTAATATAATACAGTCTTCTTATGCAATATAATATGACATTCTTGTATAATAATCTAGAATACTAAAGAATGATTTAAAAATATTACTAGAATACATTAAAGAACAGAATACATTTGCAGAAAAATATATTAAAACAATATTCTAGTAACGATAATATTTTCCTCTGAACGAAGAATTAAGAACAATTAGAAAACGACTAGTTCCAATTAACAACACAATTTGTAACGACGTCGTAACATAAAAAAAAACTCGGCGAGAACAAGATCAAATAATGAAATGAAGAGACAAAGAAACCGAAGAACGATGTATAAATCGTTCAGGAATGAATGTGCAACGTTTCTGGGAAATCATGCGAACACGTGTCGGCTTCTCCACACTGATAAGTTGCAGAATTTCTTTTTTATCCATCCGCGTGATGGTTAAAGCATCGTTGAAACGTCTAAATGGCAGCATACACGGGGAAATGACGCGGAAACGATTAAAACGTGGCGTTGAAGACCGTCGCGTATGGTTGCTGGAACCTTGTACAGTGAATCAAGTTTTTTTTACTGCGATTTACATTCAGCTGCGTCGCAGAAGTTTCTTTGTTTGAACGTATGCGAGTCCGAATTTCATCTGCTAATTCTACTCGCGTGATACGGAAATTGGTAATCCGATCTTCAATTCTTTCTCCCTTATTTCTGGATACTAAGAAACTTGTTTCAGAGAATGTCTCTGATGATCGTCGTGTGCAACCTCTTTGGTAAGACCTACCGATATGAAAAAAATCCTGCGTATACTACGAAGTAGCAGTAATAAGACTGCAACAAGGAAAAATTTTCAATTCCTCTGAATTGCTCAAAATTAATTCTAGAAAATAGCCTTCATTTTCCATTGACTTATCTCTGAGCGAGGATTCTGTGAAAAGCATCCCCAATAATCCCTACGTCCCGCCATTTTGTCGAGACTTACGGACGCTAAAAAAATCCTATGTATACTACAAAGTAGCAGTAATAAGACTGCAACAAGGAAAAATTTTCAATTCCTCTGAATTGCTCAAAATTAATTCTAGAAAATAGCCTTCATTTTCCATTGACTTATCTCTGAGCGAGGATTCTGTGAAAAGCATCCCCAATAATCCCTACGTCCCGCCATTTTGTCAAGACTTACGGACGCTAAAAAAATCCTGTGTATACTACAAAGTAGCAGTAATAAGACTGCAAAAGGAGAAATGTTCAATTCCTCTGAATTGCTCAAAATTAATTCTAGAAAATAGCCTTCATTTTCCATTGACTTATCTCTGAGCGAGGATTCTGTGAAAAGCATCCCCAATAATCCCTACGTCCCGCCATTTTGTCAAGACTTACGGACGCTAAAAAAATCCTGTGTATACTACAAAGTAGCAGTAATAAGACTGCAAAAGGAGAAATGTTCAATTCCTCTGAATTGCTCAAAATTAATTCTAGAAAATAGCCTTCATTTTCCATTGACTTATCTCTGAGCGAGAATTCTGTGAAAAGCATCCCCAATAATCCCTACGTCCCGCCATTTTGTCGAGACTTACGGACGCTAAAAAAATCCTGTGTATACTACAAACCACCATCGACCATCCTGCAAGATATAAAACCCCGGCAATCCTCCGCGTGCTCGAAATTAATTCGAAAAAATGTAATTGACAGCCTGAACAGTAATTTCCTCAAACATTCGTCGACACCGTAAAACCCGCTAATTAAACCTAATTAATTCCGCCTGTGCGAGACGTAGAATACCATCGCTGCGGTCCATTTTCCTGGTTCCAACATGCAGCCAATAATTCCGGGAGCTCCGGTACAAGCGAAACAAGCCGGCAATTTTCGAATCGTCGAAAGATCCAACGGCAGACGGAACGCAACAGATTCGGGGGACAGCTCTGCGGTTTTTGACGACATTAAAGAAGTATGGAAAGGGAAAGCATGGCGGCTTTGTACGGTGTTCCCCCTGGTCTGGTGCGCGAGAGCAACATGGCAGCCGAATTCCGAGCGGTACATATTAAAACAGATGCCGGTACGTTTCGCTCTTTTGATATATAATGCAGGCCGGCGTTGTTTGTGTTAAAAGCCCGGGACCGCGGCGACTTAACCCTGTTAAACTGCGATGCTAAGTAAAACGCGGTTTGCTTTTACTCGCTCTGCTGTAATTCATGCACAAAGTGTCCGTTTCGTCCAACTTCGCGACTTTCGAACGCGGCCCGTTACGTTTCGAATGCGGGAACCGGCGAGCAGAGCCAGTCGATCGCTTCCAAACGATCGTCGACCGGTCGATCGCGGTCTTGCACAGGCTCGCATGAAAATTTCACCGCGAACAGATTTTTTTCCTCGCGACGCCGCAGCGCAGCCGCGCCCGATTCCAGGTGGTCCGCGGCGCGCGAGAAAAAACGGGATTTTTCGGGAATTATGCGCGCGATACGCGAAGATTCCGCGGACTCGGTGTTTGGGTGTCGGAACGCGCATACGTTGGCGCGTGTTCCAGCATTTTTTCGTCGACGTGTGGAAATTTTTCACCGCGCTGCAGAATTTTAAGGAGAACCACCGCCGCCGCCGTTTACTCGACTCGTTTTCCCGAAACGGCGGCGTCGGCAATTTTTCCCGGGACTCGTGCACTTCGACGCGGATTTCGCATTGTGCGGTTCGAGCGCGCATACATTGAAGCGTATTCGAGAATTTTTTCGCCGCGGGAGATTCACGTTTCGCTCGGCTGCAGAACTTCGACGCGGAACGACGACTTCACCGATCTGTCCGTGAGAGGTATACGCTTCATGAATTATTTCTGGGGCCCGCGAACTTCGTAGCAATTTCGTCGATACGCGGTTCGAAACTACTCCTCTCCGGCTACATTTGACAATTTTTTCGTCGCTGAATCCGCACGCGCGTCCCAGTGCAGAATTTCGAAGTTGCGTGTTGCGGTGGATCGTAATTCGTGCGACGATCGCGGACAAGGCTCTGCTCTCTGAATTCTTTCCGTGGCCCGCGAACACGGTAGCTACTTTCTCGACGCGTTGTTCGAAAGCGCAGACTTCGAGCAACAGCCTCGAATTTTTCCGCGCGAAATTATCCATGTCCAAGCTCTCGGTGTCCGATATTTATGATAATAATAATCTCCGTTTCGGAGGGCGCGTCAGAGTCAGAGGGCGCGGCGTAAAAAAAAACTGTGTTCTACGCTCCTGGTAGTTCTCTTTGATCGATTTTGCAAACCCTCGAAAGGCACGGGGTGCCTTGAATCGACATTTGCGCCCGTAATTTCATTTCACCGCCCCGCATGCGTCTTTGATTCGATTATAGCGCTGAATCAGGGTCAAAAAGATAGACTCCGCGTACGTGTGTTTGTAACTATGAATTTTTAACGTCGCGCGCGCCATGGAAAAAGGGGCCCGTTAATTAACTCGATCAATCGGGAGAATGCCTCTCCGCTGTTTGCAAAAAAAAAAATGTTTCAGCGAAGATTCGCTGAAAATCGTCCGGAACGAAATTCTCTTCTATCAATTTTCGGTCTTCCGAGATTCGATCGGCGATCGAACGGAGAAACGTCGATAATGTGCGCCCGTAGATCGCACGACGGATCGATCGGGCTTTTCTCCGAAGGATAGGGTGCAACCTACCTGGATCCTGGCCTCGTTCAATTTAGTAGATCGCGCCAATTCCTCCCTGCAGTATATGTCCGGGTAATGAGATTTTGCGAATGCCGATTCCAATTCTGCCAGCTGCTCCTGCGAAACAATTCGAGGGTCCTAGTGAAGACTATCTGACGGGAAATTTGCGAAATTTTAAACCGATATCGCTACGTTGAAAATAATTGTAATCGCGGAATTTTGAGCGTCGAAATTGGAACACCGACTTCCGTCGAGAAAGATTCGACTCCTTCGAGATAACATAACTTCGCGTAAAAAAATCGCACGATGATCCATGTTGGCTCATTTTGATGCGGGGAGTTCCTACTTTCGGCCAGTCTGACGATGCTTTTATTTTTGACCATTGCTGCAGCACGAAACGCGGCGGAATGTAATGACCATAGTTTCTGGTGCTCGACGATTTCAAACGATTCTACGGGGTTTAAACAATTTTATTTAGTGCTCCGACCAACGTAGATTTGTTAATTAGAATGTTAATGTTGCGTGGAATTAAACAAATTTGATTCGCGAATTCTTTGTTCGCCTTTTATTGCAATTTGAATTGAGAGCTGTCCAGCATTTGAATTTTTAACACACGAAAAACTCGTCTTAGCTTTTCAATTTTACTCGCGACAAATGAGAATTTGTGAGAAATAATAAATTACAGAGGGTTAATGTAGATGCTTCGCGCTACGAAATGAGCTACAATTGATCGACGTACGATTTTTTCTCAACAAATTATGGTAACTTGAAGATACCCCATTTTTCATCCACGATTTCGCAATCGTTTGATCGTCGGTGTAAAATATTCAATTTTTTCAGTACCAAAAAATACTTTTGGAAAATAATAACGTACTGAAGATGAAAGTAGAGGCTACACGTGACAAAATGAGTGGAAATTTTTTGTTGTCAGATTTTTTTTCACGAAGTTAAGGCAGTTAGGAAGTTCAGGGATCTTTCGGTCGAAGATTATCGAGCAGGTTTCGAAACTTTTGCTAAAAATGATCATTTCGAAGACAAACCTGTGTAAAGGTAGTCCTGTGTCGTCGTCGGGCAGGTGTCGGACAACTTGCAGTGGTGGGAGTGTGACCAATATGTGGACTCGAAGCACAAGGATCCGGTTTTAATTTTTTGAAAGCTCCTTCCGCTCCTGAAACGAAAAATTTCTTGCTTAGAACCGCATGAAATTGCATTGGAACATCGAAAAACCACATTTTCCAGACTTTGAACAATGTTAAAATGAAATCCTAGTGAAAAAACCGATTCCAATTAAAAATTCCCTAGTCATGAAATACAAGAATTCCATTTATTTCGTAGGTGAAAGTTAAGTTAATTAAATTTTGATCGAGAAACTCGTTCTTTCAACTTTGAAAATACACCGTGCTCTGACAATTATAGTTATGCGAATATCTTTCATGCGAGATTGTTCTATAAACTCTCGCGAACAAGATGACGTACTTTAATATTCTATTATAACCACGGAAATTTGTTTAAATAATTATTGAAGCGAAAGAGATATATTCATGCTTGGCAAAAAAATTATCGTGAAATAATAATTGCAAAAATTATTGTAAAAATTATTTCACGGTGTTTCAAGGGTCAACGATTCTTTAAGGATCAAGATAGTTCTCTTTACACTTGGGAATATTTTCGCGACGTTAACATTGTTTATTACTAATTTTGATTATGTAAAACGTCGCGTCGATCTGTCGATTGGAGTGAAAGCATGATCCACTGTTGCTCTGCCAAATTCGAGGCGACAGACAGTCGCCAGCCGATAGTCCTTGTGCCATTTCGGTATTGACAGTAATACGATAATATAGATTCAATGCTAGCCACCAGTTTTGCAAGGTTCGAGCTAGAAAGTTGTCGCAATGTTGTAATTTTCACGGTTTCGTAATTCTCGAGTCATCCGACCAGTCCTCTGTCAAACGGAAAATTCCGATCAACAAAAAATCGCTCGGCAAATTACACGGGCACATTTTAAAAAGCAGACTTCAATCTTTAAATCTACGCTAGTTCGAGTCACGAAAAAAATTTGTTACGCTCTGTACAATCATTCGAATGTGAAGAATCGGAATATCCACCGACGAATCGGACGCTCTCCGTTCAAAGCGCCATAAAGCGGCAAAAAAAAATCGTACATCAAATTTTTTGATCTTGTTATAAAAAGGACAGTTCAAGCTATAAATCCGCGTTGGTTTGAATTGCGAAAAAAATTCTGCAAAGATTTTACAGTCGTTTGAATCTGTCTAAAATTCTACCTGACTTCAAAATTATTTTTCAAATAGAGTAAGTAAGTATTTAATTAATTGAGTATAGTATTGTTAAAATAGAGGCTTCACCCTACAAAATGAGCCCATTTGGATCACCATTCCATTTTCTTTAGCGATGCTGCAATTTTTCAAAGAGACACACTTAGTTATGAGATTAAAGAAAAATTTACTTCCCCTTTCCTTTCGATTTCCTCTACGAAACAAAATGTGAAAAAATAAAAAAATTAATGAAATCAAAACTAGAAGCTTTAAGCTCGATAACGAGACCAGGTACATCGCAATCCGATTATATTTCGCGAAGTCGCAACCAGTTGAACATCCCCGATTTTTCCAGCTAAGATTCAGCGATCCTCCGACTGCGATGGTCGGTGTGTTTTAATTAGTGAAAGATCGTTAATGAGGGGCTTCAGCGGGGGTGTAAGGACCCGTCGGAGGTCCGCGGGAGTCCTTCGTCACGATAAGTCGTCGTTCGTCTTGGTTGTTTCACTGTATCGGCTTTATGAACGTGCGAACGTACGGACGGGGTAACGGTGGCGAGTGAAGTCCCTCGCACTATGCTAACTTGGTTAGGGCGTTAATGACCTAATCATGTTACATGCTGATTCAATGTTCAAGGATGAATGCTGTCCACTTTACATACCTTGTCCCGTTTCCCGGTGAACGGTGAAACTCGGTCAAGTTCAGCGGGAAGACGGGAGGAACCTCTTACAATCCGTTTCTTGACGAGCGAAATCGGCATCTCGCGCGATTATCTCGTCAAACTATTCTTTCGAAAATTGTCTCAACTAAGTTGAAATCGAACGAAACTGCGCCGCGGGGTCCCATAACGAACGGTGTTATTATTTCATGGAGAAGAAATGCCAAAGACAGCCGAAAAATCGAAGCTTGCGCGACATTCTCTTTTTCGAGGATGCATTGAATCGCGCGCAGCAAACGCGATTCCGATTCTTTCGGGATGAAAAAATTCGTGAACATTGTCGAATCGTGAAGGAAACTGCATGTTCGAGTCCCATAATGATCGGAGTTACGGTTTCTTAATTAAAAAATGACAAAGACGGTCAAAATTTGTATCGCTTGGTCACACGTTTTCAAGCGTGCACTCAACCGCTCGCGAAAAGCTCAATTTTGATTTTCTTCTCTAAGTAAAAATTTGACAATACGATGAAAACAGAAAGGAAATTACGCGCTGAAGCTTCATAAAATTCGTTTCGCGGTTTCGCGATAAAAAAATGTCGAAATTAACCTAGATTCTAAATGATCGTCTTACACCTCGAGTATATACGGTACAAATTAAAAAGATCGATGAACCAAGTAAACGGGAATCTAATTTTCCGATTTCTAGCGTTTTCGGGTGTACAGAAAAATCGTATGAAAGAGTTGCGGGTGCTGATCTATTCCAAGAGGAATGCAATGGCAGATGCTAGCGACGGACAGCTGCGACCCTCCCAGAAATCTGCATCGTCGATGATCCCATTGATCCTGTCATTCGTCAGTGTGGATTTTACCTCGTTAAAATCGCTGGTAATTATTTCGAATGCGTTTTCGCCCGTGGCAGCTGTTAGTCCCCCGCATAATTGCCCTAAACCCACCTCTCCCAATTATTCCGTCACATTTTCGGGTAACTTTGGGATTTTCTTACCATGAAACTACGAAACCGATTATCGCGAAACTGTGACACAAATTTTCGGCTATCTTTTGACTACATCATCAAATTTTTTTCACCTCGAAAAAATCAAAATTGCTCTAGTTACAAGCAATCAAGTTCATCCTCGAGAAATAAGCAATCAAGGGGATGATCCCATTCCAGACTGACTTTGGGATTTCTCTATGACAAAACCATAACCCCGATTGCTATGGGACCTTTTCGAACATATTTGTCCGTATTCCAACAATATCTCCAATTTTTTTAACCTCGAAAAAAGTAAAATTGCGCTAGTTACAAGCAATCTGGTACACACACCCTTGAGAAATAAGCAATCAAAGGGGTGATCCCATACCAGATAAGCTTTGTGATTTTTTCGTAACGAAACTACAAAACCAATTGCTACGGAACTTCGTTCGTCATTTTCGTCCACTTCTTCTCTACGTCCCCAAATTTTTACAGCAGAAGAAAAATCAAAACTGAGCCGGTTATAACCAATTAACTGCGCCCTCGGAAGTGAATCCTCGACCGAGCGTAAAAAAGATACTTTGTCGTTGGCGACGGTAACTTCTCGGCAAGTTTGTTCAAGTAGTAGTATTAGATCTTCTTTTTTAAAGCGGCGAGGAAAGCCGTCATTTGCACTGGCGGACGAGAGTAAGAGAGAGAAAGAGAGAGAGAGAGAGAGAGGGAGAAAGAGATTTCGCGGGTTCACATTTTAAAAGGGGTAAAGGATTCCCGCGGAAGACCGTCGCTTGAGAACTTTTAATGCCGCGGAGAACGCAAGAGGGTTAACGAAATTAATTTTTCCGCCCCCGTTTCTCTCTTTCCGCGCCCTTCCCCTCCGCGCCGTCCCGCCTCTCGCTCTCATTCTTTTATTCTCGTTTCATTTGCATGAACACTGCGGTAGACTCGTCTTGTTTCCCAGCGGCCTGACCTTGGAGGAATTCAGCCCCATCGGATTCATTATTGAATAACAAAGACTGCAAAAACCCGGACGAGCTTGTCTCAGTGACCCAATATTTGTTAAACATTCTATTAATCGACTACACTGCAACCCTATTATCATACTTTAATTTATTCATTCGACATGTTACATTTCACCCACAATTTTTAATTCGTAGAAACAACATTAGTTCTTATTAGTTAACATTTAATTTATTTCATTAGTTTTCGGAGAATTACCGGCGCAATTAAACTAGCCATTAGAGACATCATTTTCGTCCAAACGATGCCGTTTCTAATTCCAAGATTCCATAAATGACTCATCCGATATTTGTCCGACTTTGTCCGATATAAACTGTCACAGCTTCCCGCGTGCCGTGTCGACAACAAATTTTTTCGACGAAAATGAATTATACATGGAAAAAGTAGAGACTTCAGGCTTTAAAATGAGTTTAGTTTCGTTGCTCTACGATTTTTATTCACGAAGTTACAATAGTTTGAATATCGTCGATGTTTGGGGGGTTGAAAATTTCGCGTAAAGTCTGGATCGAGACTTTTCATCCACCGTGCCACGAATAAATTTTTTTAAAGAAATCCACGGACAGCCTCCGAAAGTAGACACTTCGGGCTTTAAAATAAGCCTAGTTCCATCGTTGTATGATTTTTTTGCACGAAATTACAGTGTTTTGAATATCGTCGATGTTTCGGGGGTTGGAAATTTAAGCGTAAACTCTGGATCGAGGTTTTTCATCTATTGTGTCGCGAATAAATTTTTTTAAAGAAATCGACGGACAGCCTCCGAAAGTAGATACTTTGGGCTTTAAAATGAGCCGAGTTCCATCGTTGTATGATTTTTTTCAACAGAGTTGTAGCTGTTCGAATATCAACAATTTTTTCGAAAATTCGAAACGTCGACGAAAGTGGTGGAAGACTTGTTTTTATCTCATTTTTATGCACAATCTGAGCGCGAATTAGGGAGAAATAAGATTTCCAAACTGTTCTACGCCGTCAACTTGTCCACTACGCACGCAAATATTTCCCCATCGATTAGCGCGCGAAGTTCGAACAGCCCGAGCCGTAACCAACGTGTTACACCATGTTAAAACAACGCCGAGCGAAAAAGGGGATTTTCTATTTACATTTCGGCCGACTCCGACAAGAAAAATGGCCAACGCGTCGTCTCGATATAGGTGAATTTTCTGCCTGTTAATTTTCGAGTGGCACGCCGTGTACATTGACAAAGGGATCGGTCAAAGGTGTTGACAATGGGGTGCTAGGGTAGCACCATATGGTGATACCTGTTCCACGGCCTATTATTATGCGTTCATGGGGATTTAGAGAGCCTAGGCGCTAAGGGTGGCCTAATGGGGTCCGCCGTGATGGGCGTAGGCGAGCATCGAGTATGTATTATTCCGGATGAAGCATGCTACAGCGAGCCGAAAGAATAGGGCCACCCCTAACCACTGCAGAGTGACATTCTGTTTTGAGTAGAATGTCAAATTTCCCTCCGAAAGCTGTGCTGTGTTTCGTCGGGAAAATCGTGTCAAAAAGTTCTACATCCGTTTGTCTCATCTCTACATACATTTTCATTCAATTTCGTACTGGAAACACTTCGATTTTTCCGGACTTAGGGCAACTGGTTCAACGAGAACAGTGCACGATTAGTGCAAGCACTGTGCTTACATTATTTTTGTGCGAGACGTTAGGGTTGAAATACGAATTAAAAATTAAATGAGCCGATTCGAAAATATACTTTGTCCAGTTCCGAGCCTGTCTACGAATCGACTTTGCTTGCTTCGAAGCAAAGCGGGCCCGCGACCAAAGTTCCGGGGACCTTTCGAGTCCCAGCATCGTCGGAAAAGACGTCCATCTCGTTACCCGAGAACTAAATTAGCACTAAATTAGCATCGAAAGAAGCGAGATACTAAACTGGCTTTGATACCAAACTCTGCTTATCTAGCTTCACAAAGTCGATTACTATGCGTCGCGGGGCTGCATCCCCATATTCTACGATTATTAATTACTGTCAGCTGAGTCTGCGCGAGGATTCCGAACCTGACTCAACAAAAACAGTCCAGAAACCTAAACGAAGTCCCGTGTAATCAATTTCACACGATTCTTCGTGTAAGACTAGCTTAATTCGCTGCTGCTATGTCGGCGCGCCAATAGTATTGCATTGGGAAGTTCGGCAAGTTGTTCCGTAGGGCTGTTAAAAAAAGCACTGTAATTCCTTGCCAACAGACAGCATGACAAAGCTGCCAGAAAAGTGTGTGAAGGCGTTCCGTTTACATTGACCCCTTAACGAGCCTAACTCGTAACGGAGATTTCTAATGAGAACCTGTTAAGTATTAATGTTATTCCATACTTTCGAGCTGGAATTAAATCCTGCTCTTTTTTCCAGAATATAGATCAGAATAGACAGAAATAAAGAAATATAGACAGAATATAAAAAAATAATAATAATAATAATATAAGAATATAAGAAAATAATATAAGAATATAAAAAAGTAATACAAGAATATAAGGAAATAATATAAGAATATAAAAAAATAATACAAGAATATAAGAAACCCGTATGGCACGCAATTAATACAGAGTTTCTTCATCCCCTAAGAAATCATTATACTCGAAAGACTTCTGTACATCAGAACCGGGAAGAAAATGGCACGGCAAGGGGATAAAAAAGTTCGTCTTTCATTTTCTCGTGAAAGAACGAAACAGCATTCCCAACGCGACCCAATAATCGCTAGGGAGCAAGGCCCGCCGCTTAACCTTTTAGGTTATGTCGACCAGGGTGCCTCGGGATCCCGTAAAGATCAGCGAGCCAACTGACCGTACAGCTACAGTGGCCCACAAAAGTGTTCGTACTCCTTTTAAAAAGTGATAACTTTTTTAAAACTGGACTAAGTGATCTGAATTCTTTTTTTTCTAGATGACAGAGCAATTAGTCTTCTAAACGATTAGTCTTCTAGCTTTTCCTTAATTTAGCTATTACTCGGAATGAAAAGAAGATCTCTTTTATCTGAAGAAGATCTATTTTATCTCTCTTTTATCTGAGTCTATAACGAAAATTTCAAAAAGCCGCAGATTTCTTACAGTTTTCGGTCGAAATCCTGATGAAACTGCAACTCTTGCGATCTCTAATAACAACGTGAACCGATTTCAATAAAAATTTTCTATATGCATAATAAATCACCGAGATCTGCGAAAGACATTTCCTAAATGTTCGTTATAGGCTCACATAAAGAAGAAGTTTAGAAACGAGAGATTGTTTCGTCATTCCAAGTAATAGCAAAATTAAAAAAGAAAGAAAGCATTTCAGCCTTCGTCTAGTAGACTAGTCCCATCTAAAAAAAAAGTCCAAGCCATTCAGTTGATCCTTAAAATAACAATTACTTCGTTACAAAAGTCGTACGAACCCTTTTGCTGGCCACTGATAAGCCCCTCGTACGTTCCGCCAGCATTTCCGGAATTACGCCGACACGGGCATAACAATTAATAAGAGAGGAGCGACAGCGAGATCGAAGGGATTCTTACCAACGGTGGAAGTGGCCCCGACGCTGCTCCTGCCGGGGGTCGCGGCCGGTGTTGGCGGGCTCGCCTCGAGTCCCTGGTGCACACCGTACAAGCCGAAATCCTGTTCGTTGGAACTGGCGCTGCTGCACTTCCTTTTCTCCTGGTTGTGGTTCAGATGAAAGCTGTCGTTCTCGACGAGTCCGACCCCGAGGAGGCCCAGGTTCGGCCTCAGCTCGTCCATCAGCTTGTTCTGGCCGCAGTTCGCGGCCGCCGCCGCCGAGAAGTTCAGCTGTCTGCTGAAGATCGCCGGGAATATGTTGAACTGCTGATGGTCGAGGCTGAGGGCGGTCGTCGGCAACGATGAGCCGCCGCCGCCGCCGCCGCCGACGGAGCTGCCGCCGACGGAACCGACGCCGCCGGCACCGGGTCCCCCGGTACCTCCGGACAGGTCGTTAGCCAGGGTGATGCCGGGGTGACCTTGTCGAGGTCGCTCGTTCGCAATGTTCACCGCGCCTGCCAGCGGTTAGTGGGTCATCCTTCTAGCAAAGGGTCCGCGATTTTTACTGTGTTCCGGTTACCGAGCAGACTAGGCTTACTAGGCTGAGGAGACTCGAGTCCGGGCCCTCTACGGTCTAAGGCCCCGCGTCGGAGGGTCCGCGGTTCGGCCTATTTCAGCGCGGATATGCCGCGAGCTGCTGCTTGTGCCAGGCTGCTTCGGTTGCACTTTCGGCGCAGCCTCGAGCTTGTTCTCCGATAAACTGATGTCTCCGGGACTCGGCTCCTGGGCCTCGAGGCTTCGGGAGGTTGGCGAAGCTGATCTCCTCTTTCTGAAGGATGCGCCGATGCCTGTTGGACCCAGCGGCTAGGTCTTGCTCCGTCTCTCGGTCACTTGGAAAGAGGATCGAATGCCTTTTTGTGGAGGATTCGATAGTCTATGCTCTTCGGGCTTGTTCCAACGTCCGGGTCCGTTCGGAGCCTCGTTCCAAGGGGTCTCAGAATAGCTAAGATAAGTCTCTGTCCCTGAAGAGCTCAATCCTCTTGCTTCCGCTTCACTTAGAAAGAGGATCGAATGCCTATCTGTCGAGGATTCGATAGTTTATGCTCTTCAGGCTTGTGCCGGATCCGTTCGAAGTCTTGTTCCAAGGTATCTCAAAACAGCTAGAATAAATCCCTGTTCCTGAAGAGCTTTGTCCTCTTGCTTCAGCCAGTGCAAGAATCCGACGCTGGTGCTTCGAGGATACAGTGGTCTAAGCCTTGAAGGTTCAAACTTGCTGCGAGCCTAGCAGACGGTAGCTAAGCAACGTCCTGCGTTTCTGAAGGGTGCCGTGCTTCCGTTTCACTCGAGAAGAGGACTCGACGACTCGGCTTGCTTCAGGCTTCTTCGGAAGCTCGACTCGGACCGTGTCGCCTAAGGAAATCCCAGTCAACCCGCGAAGCTGTTCAGTTTCGCGTATCCTTTGACTTCCAAGCAATTCAACTTCTCGGGACGTCGAACGCTTGAACCGCGAGAGATTCAACAGCCTGGAGGGCTCGGAGGACTCGGCAAGAAGCGGTTAATCCTTCTATTCTGCAGGGCATACGCCGCGAGAAGAGGCGACAGCGGATTCTCGTCTCTTCGTCTGCCTAGCGACGCTTGGATGTGATCCCTGGGCGACGCGGCATCATAGAATTTAGACTAACCTCGAGTGCGTAATCCTTCAGAACGTCGACTTAGAGAGAATAACTACTCTTTTCTGGGTGGCGAGAGAGAGAGAGAGGCATCAGAGTAACTACTTAAGTATACACAAGTCAGGACGCACTGCTTCAACACAATATTACGACACTTCCTGGCGAGCCTCGGCCTGCTGATTAACCGGGCATCGTCTCCAACGGGCGGTCCTCAAAGATCTCGTGCCTCAACGAAGCATAGTCCTCTTTCTGGACACTGTCATCCACAACGAGCCTCGATGGGAGCTCCGACGCTGTTCACAGGGCTCTCGGACGTCCCCAGAGCTCACTGTCCGGCGTCCTCTTCCGGCCGAACAACTCTCGCACCACCCTGACTGCGAGTACTCTGTCTTCTCGGCGGTCCTTCGGCAGTCGACCGGGACTAGTCCCGAGGGGCCCGACGAGTCCCAGACCCGCGACGACCTTATCGAGGGTACCGTGTCTCTCCGCGATGCTTCGATCTAGGTCCCAGAGCCGGCGTTCCCCTTGCTTCAACGATGCTCTAATAGGTCTTGGATCCTCGGCACCCGGGTCAAGGGTGGTCTGGCTCTTCGGCGAAGCTCCGAGAGAAATCCTGTGGCTCCTGGGCCGCCGTCTTCGGTCCCCAGCGGTCGGACAAGAGCTTGGCTGCTCGAGAGAGGTCCAAGCTTGCTCCCAGAGGCCGGTGTCCCGCGCCACGCGGAATTCGGCGTAGCAGCAAGGATAGCCCAATTTCGACCGAGTTACCGCGAGAACCTCTTCGACAATGCGATCCACGACGCTGCTAATGTTTACGGCGGCGACGGCGGCAGGCGGCGGCGGTGGTGGCGGTGTCGGCGGCGGCGGTGGGGGGAGGCCAGGGAGGCCGTAAGAGAGCCGAAAGGGCTGTAAAACACGGGTTAATCGCGGGCGGACGTTATCGCTACCGCGGCCTCGATTTCGAAATTGAAATCTTATTATCCCGTCGATGCAATTACGCGGCTCCCAGTCAACAGGGCGGTCGGCGGGTGGTGGGCGGAGGGGGTGGAGGCACCTGGCGGGTCGCCGAAGAAGGGGGGGAGTGAACAGGGGGGTCGCGAGCGGCACGAGAGGACAGAGATAGGAGAGAAGATACTCGAATGCGACTCGGCTGATGATTCCGAGAAGAAGAAGAAGAGGGCCTGAGAGGCTCGCGTCTCGCGTCGCGGTGCGGTGCGGGCCCTCGCGGGCAATCGGAACTCGCCGGAGTGGCCCTCGCGGGCAACGGGCGTCGCGGCGACGCGGCTCTGCGAGCAGGAAAAACCCGAAACGAGCCGAGCAATCGAGAGGGGCGACCGCTCGCCGTGAGTTCTTGTGGGATTCTGTCCGCGAAATGCAGTTATCCCGGTGACTCCGCGGGGGGACACGGCTCGGAGGGGTCGTCGAAGGTGGTGGGGGGTCGCCAGCGATCCCGGCCCCCTCCCCCGCCGGCCCCTCGCCAGTTCCAAAAGCTCGGGGGCTTCGGCGCGCAGACCACGAGGCGTGGAATCCGGCCACCGGATTGGCCGTCGCCGTGGCAACGCATCCCCTACGTCGGCCAATCGAGGCTCGCCGCCGCCTGATCGCGGCTCCCCCACCAGCCGGCCAAGATGGCGGACTTACCAATAAAAATTCTTCTGGAAAATAACCTGCGAGCGATTTTCTTTCCACCCTGCTATCTAGCTTTTCGTACCGTGTACACCGAAGAGGGTGGGCGCGGGGTGCTCGGCGCGGGTGTACGCGGCCGAACGGTGCGCGGAGGGAGGCTTTAGGGCTTCTTCTAGATAGCTGGAATTGTAGCGGCCCTTAAGGTTGCCCTCCGCGTCTTTAGTTACGGCTTTTTTCTCCTCTTTTTTTTTTATTTTCGAAGGAACAGCGGAGTTCGTCTTATTCGGAGATCGGTGTTTTAATTTTTGCTCGGCTGTTCGGCCAGCAACGAGAATTCGGAGGAACAGGGGTTTCGACGGCGAGGAGGATTAGGGGGTGGCTTCAGGGAGAGCGATATTTATGGGGTGTTCGGGGAAGCGGATACGGGGTGGTTTCGAAGGCATCTTTTGGGGGGTGTTTTTTATTTCTATTTTTTTTTTATTTTACGGCGATTTTTTGGGGCGACTTCGGCAATTTATAAGAAAATGTTTTTTGGAGAGGTGAGGGGAGGTTGATGCAGTGTTGTTCGAGTTTCAATTATGTTCGTGAAATTTTATGCTGTTTCATCAGCACTTACGCTGTTTCCCCAATCTTTTGGCTACGGCAAAAATCAATATCCAATGTGTTCTAAACAAACAGCTACATCCTCGAAATATTTCATCCCCTAATATTCCAGCTTATTTCGTTAATGTTTAGGCTATGCCGAAAAAATTTGTACAGATAGGAGAAATCAAAGTCGTGGCAGCTAAGTGGCTGTCGACTGCACCGTCGAGAGGAAAAATATTGCGGGCCGAATTGCCTCCGGAAAAATAATAAAATACATCCCGCCTGTCGTAATTTCTGGTCCAAGGGAATTCATTCGGCACTCCCGTATCCCCGTCATACGGGATGACTCACATATAACCGTAGCCTGTCTGGTTCCTCAAGGAACTTCGACAAAACCCTTCGATTCGTCGACTTGACGCCCACTTCTCGTTCGACCCTCCTTCAGAGCGTGGCGAGAGGGTGCCCGAGGGTGAGATCGAACAGATATGCAGCCGAAGGGTACGAGCAAGGGCTAGGAACGAGGAACATCAAGTTCCTAGAGCCTCCGCCTCCTTAAACTTTCGTAAATCCTCAAAAACCCACCCCTTCTCGCGAGCACCCCGGGAATCGGTCGATTAACCACGATTTTCCCGTGAACCGTCGTTTAAAATTTAAAAAAAGACCGCACCACGCGATTCATCTTTCAAGCAGCTACGAAAATTGTGGAACAACATTTTTCCGCTCGAGGCACCGTTTCCAAGAAAACGCAGTTCGAAGTCCAAAGCGAATCGTCTCACCCTTTCGCACGCTCGACCAATATTTTGAAATTCGACTCTCTCGAAAACTGAGCCCCGAACGAAAAACATTCGTTTCTCATTTTTTACGCAGCTTTCCTTGCAGAATCGTTTAGCATATTTCTTTGCCGAGCTACGTATCTCGGTTTCGCCCGAGAAATTCAGTTTCTCCGGAGCTTTTTCCTTGGAAGTTGTTCTTTTTTTATATTGCTGTTCTTTATTTATATTTTTCTTTGTTACGCCGACAACGATCAGCCGATAATCATAGCTCGTTCGTTTCCACGACCCTGTATAAACACAATCTTTTAGCGTTTGAGCCCTTGAAAAGTAATCGGATTGCGTCGGATCCGAAGAGAGCGCCGCAGTTATGGTACGTGTTCATTATGTTCGCTTTAGTTGCAGATTTCGGAATCTCTCATTAAGAATGCGAAATGCGGCGCACGAATAATGACATTTTACATAGCGGGTCGATCAAAGCCGGAATTTGCGAAATTTATAAACGCATTCACACCTGCTCGCCTGGATTTTTATTGCTCGGCGTTCGACTCGGCTGTTCGGGGCTCGCCGGCGAATCATGGCAAAACTGTATCCCCCGAATTTCGTGGATCCCGGCTCGATTTCGACCCCGTGTGCATTACATTTTATTTACTATGTAAACCGCGTGGCAATTTTTCGATGCCAGAAGCCGGCTGCTTATCCCACCTATTCTACGATCTAGTTTCGAACGACTTTCACACTTTTTCCTTCGCAACGAAACAATTTTCTTATAATTTAGTCAAATTATATAATAATATAATTATATCAATTACACATAAGTTACACTAAATTACATAGTTTAGTAAAATTACTTTAATCGTCGACGATT